CCTTATTTGAGCTGGAACTGGTTCAGCCCCTGCAATAACACACAATAATATGCTGCAGTTCAAAGGAGAAGCTGCAAAGCAATGATCTCTGTCAGCATCCCCTAAGCCGCCTGCCCTGAATGATTGTTGATGGCTGAATTGCCACATGTGCTGGAATAAATGTAGGTCACGGTAATGTGGATTTGTCATGATGATTTTGGCTCCCATGCAGCAGGGCTCATGTCCCACTCCGACCACATGCAGGGACAGGCACAACATGCTCGGGGCTGGTGCCACTGCGGAGGAACATCTTTCTGCCTCCAACACTGAACAGGCCTACACTTTCATGCTTATTTGAGCAGTGTGGGTCTGTCTTGCTGCCAATTTGCCATCATTTGCAAGCTGTAATGTGATTAGAAAAGGAGGAGAAAGAAAGGATTATTTCTTCCTAAGTCCTTTGCTTCCATTAAGGCATAAGACAAATGAACATGAAATAATCATGGAAATCAAACCAAATGCACAGTGGCTTAAAACATATGATACTGAGTGAAATATTTCTTCTAAGCTTCTTGATTATGCTTTGCCTTATTATTTCATCTGGAGAAAATAAGCACCTTATGGGAAAGTGCTTTCCAATCTCTTTCGTGTAAATGTTACAGTGAAACTTTCTGTGATATATAGCTGCCTGTTCATGAAAATAGGTCATTTCCACACAAATGTCATATTTTTATGCAGCAAATATGCTGAATTCATCTTCTATTTTCTCGTTAAAGCTATCCTTTTGCTGATTTTGTGATTTCAGCATATTTGCTTGAATGAAGACAACCGGAAGGGGAGCAAAAAACCCAATTATTCTTTTTTAATTAACTCATGCAGGCCTATTGTCAAGCTAACCCCTTGAATGCAGTGTCCCTGGGGCATGCACAGGACCATCATCCTCAAATGGCTAATTTTTTGTTTTTTTTTTTCTTTCAGCGAGCAGCACTGAAATTTGAGCCCAGTGTATCACAGAGCTCAGCAGGATGCTGCTTTGCTGAGCATCTGGAGACTTTGGGAAATAAGTTTTTTCTGATATCACTTATTAAAGAAGATGCCTAGACATCCATATCCTCAGGGAAGCAGGCATTCATGCAAGAAGCCTGCAAACTGAAGCCAGTAAAGGACTGATGAAGTCTGCAAATCTCCTCATGCTCTGTAGCGATCTTTTCCTTGCAGGATGAATTTAATCTATAATGAGCCTGGGCTACTTTCACTATTGTTCTAAAGAAATAATAAACCACCCTGCCTTTTGTATAGTTGAATTTTGCCATGCCACTTTATATTTAGGAAAGGAAGAGTGTAGTTTGAAGATAAGACATACAAAATCATGGTCTTGTTATAGATAGACATCCAAATAAATTAAGCAACCTAAGGCATCACTGGCGTAAATCATTGCAGCTCCGTTGCTCTCAGCACAGCAATGCTGGTGAGGTGATTCAAAGATGTTTGGTAGCTGCTGGTGTAGCCATTTCTCTGGTGGACTTTCCCTGCATCCATTAGTATTTTGTCAAGCTTAAAAAGGAAGATGAATAAGCCCATCTTCTCAGCTAGTGTGAGCTGGCATCAACCTTGCAAAGTACTTGGGCTATTCCGTGCTGGTGAGAAGCCTGACCTTGTACATGGCAATTTTCTTCCTTTTCACCCAGGTAGTTATTTTTTTCCTGTGTGAATGCAAAAAGCTGAAACTATTGTCATGTGATGTTCATTGGTAGTGCCTGTATTGCCTGGCCTGTGGATGAGCACTTAACTCACAAGGACTCCACAGGCTCCTATCCAACTTCTGCACAAGCTTCTTTGCCCACCTAAAACCTGCTCCTGTCCTTGTGTGTTCAGAAGAAACAAAACCAAAACAACAACAAAAAAAAAAAACAAACCAAAAAAACCCCAAGAAAAAATGAAGCAAACCAGGCGGACAAATTCCATTAGAAATTCCCTTTACCTAATCCTACTTAAACCAATCCTTAAATTAATTAAGTGTAAAAGAACAGTGGTACTCTACTAGAATACACTATGAATTTACAGGAATTAGGCTTGTAGAATTCATGTGAAAACAAGACATCTTAAAGGCAGGTTCCAAAGAATACTTATTTGTTGTAAAGCACTTAATGACTGAGCTGAGTGCTGATGTTAACAAAAAAAGAACGAAGAAAAAGAAGATGGCATGATGTTAGATGTGGCTTTTCAGATGCAGTGGCTGAGCTCGGAAGCTGCAGTTGTAATGGTTATAAATGAAGGCAATGAGCAGAGACAGCAGTGTCAGGGAAGCCATAGCAGCTTTATGGCTGGGACAGAGCATAAAGATACTCTCATTAGGAGTATTGCTGGCATTTGGATGGGAACATCACTTTATTCTTCTGTGGTGTCTCTCGAGCCATGAGTTGCTTCCTTGCTGTTCAGCCTCTCCCCAGATTTTGCACACCCTGTTCATAGGGTCATATTTATAGAATGTGTGTAATCCTGGCAAACAGTAGCCTTTGGTTCAAAACACCATCCTGAATCAGCAAAGCTCAACCTGGAGACATCAGGTATAGCTTATGGGTAAGCAGCTGATAAGTGCTTTTCTGAACAGGGACCTGAAATCTCACTGTTTTATTGCTAGTGATGTGGTAAACTCCTGTAAAAGAATATTGTATAAAAATAAAAAAAAAAAGTATATTTTTCACAGTAGTAGTAATAATAAAGCTCTATATAATACACTTTATTAACAAATAAGCAGGTACTGACCACCAAGGTCTTGTCTGGAATATGAGACAGCTTCCAATTTTTCCTCTGACAGTCTTCATTTTTCCTCCACTTCCTTCTGTAAATCATTTTGGTAGAGACTCATCCTAATTTAATGTGATGCCATTTGTTCCCCAAGTAGTATGTAGGAAAGGAAGGTGATTTTAAGAGGTTTGTGTCTTAAGCAGAGCAAAACATTCCTGGGGAGAGGTTTATGCAACCCATTCATCTTACCTGGAGCACTGGGTGATTGTGTTGTATCTAAACATTTTAAATTAATTAGATATTGAAAATTAATTAGAATTCACCTGCAACTAAGCTTCTGTTCCCTGTCCTATATCCATAGGGAAGACAGCAAGGATTTCCAATCTCATAAAAATATTATTAGTATAATGTGTTATTAGATGTCCAGAACATGGAAATGGAACATTGCATATATATAAAATAGGAAAACTATGTTACTAGCATTTCACTCTGTAGTGAAGGGATTTTCAGAATTATGTAGAAATTAAACAAAAATTAATATATTATTATCAAAATATTAACTTACCAAAATACTGGATTATAGTAATAAATCACTGACAACGCTCGATATTCAGGTGAGGCTTTTATGGGAAAGGATTAAGTTCTGAGCAGTTAAAATAGTGATTTAGTTGCTGAAGTTTTTTCATCTTCAAAAATTTTCCACTGAAAAAAAGTCTAATTTTAATTTGAAAACAAAACTCTTAAACTGATTTTTTTTGTTATTACTTGGTACATGAAAAAAATGTGACTCCTTGAATGTTGCTACCAACTGGGAGCCAAGTACAGGTTCTTAAAGACTATTCCCTCTTGTATGTAATAATAATAATGATGATGATGATGATGATGATGTAGTGTTTGCTATGTGCTCCAGAGCCCTCACAGTAGCCTGGATAGGCACACAGAAGAGCAATAAGATGGCAGTTTATTGTGTTTGAGAAAGAGGATGCATCTAAAACCCTCAAGCAAGCTTTTCAGGGGAGGCTGTCAATTACTTTTTGCATAAATAACAATTTGGGTTTTGAAGAAAAAATATTAATTTTGAGAAGTGGATTTTTAAAGTGGATTAAATACAGGCTCAAGAAGGGCAGGAAAAGAGAAACTGCTACAAGTCAGAAAAGTTCTGAAAAAAAATATGAATCCATTTCTAGTAATTTTGTGTCTGCTTTTTGGTTTTGTTTTCTTTTTTTTTTTCGTAACTCAGCAGAGATGAGTATATCTTCAGTAATGAACTTGGCTGATGGCCTCATTCTGAAGGATGACAGAGAAAATAAAAAATATATTCAAAGTGATGTGCATAGATTGGATTTTATGCCTCTAGGTTACTACCACATGCTTTGCAAAGAAGGTTAAAGTAATAGGCTGGCAATATAAAACTAAGATCAGAAGCCAAGATTTTTAAGTATAACTATTTTAGGGGAGGTGACTAGTTTTTTTGATGGGTAATTTGGGACATATTTCTGTTTATCCGTCTCCTGAAGATCTTGTGAAATGTGACATATTGTCACAAGTCATTACAGTCAGTTTTGAAAACTGTGATCAGAACTTACATCTAATTTGGTCACATATTATGGCTGATATATGGATGACTGGGGTTGGGTGTATTAAGAAGAGAAGTTCCTTGTGGAAGATCATATTCCTTTGCTGGTGGATACTGTTACCAGAATAGCAAGTGTAGACAATATCAAAAATTGCTGGAATGTTTCTTCTATAATTACATAAAAAATGATAGACAAGTCCTTGCTATTGAGCTGGTCAAGTAAGCAAGGAGCTTGCAAGTGGGACCTCCTAGCCCTTGATGCTGATTTTCTATGTGGATTTAGATAAATCCCTTAATATTGCATTTGTAGTTTACCTCTGTGTAGAATGCTTATCTCTGTACCATGGAGGCACAGTGAAAATATACAGTGCTGCTGTCTGTGTTGAGAAATATTATAGGCTGAGGTAAATATTTGCAATTAAATACCAAAATACAGAAACTCTAGACTTGTGCACTTGCTCAAAGGTTGGCATAGGGGAAGATCTGGACAATACTTTTATCAAGTACTGATAAATATTGTAAGTAGCAGTGGAAAAGTAACATACAGGTATTTTCACTTTCAGCTGACCTTTTAAATATATCTTGTGTGGCATGGGAAATAAATAGTACCATTGTTGGGCACTGGCACAGCTCTATAAAGAGGAGATTCCCAATGAACCTCATGAAATATCAAAAACTGCAGTCCTTGAGGTTTTGTACAACACTGTATAGAAACACAGCATATTTCTGAAATTAAAAAGTAACAATTTAGTTCTGGTTTAAGAGTGAAAATTGATGCCTGTGTTTTTTACAGTTCCGAACTCTTTGCTATGCTGGATGCCTTGCAGAGAGATTGTAGTTCATCCTTTAGTGGATGGTATGTCACGTACCTCAATACACAAATAGAGACTACAAAAAAAGACCAGGCTCTTGCTTAGTCCTCCTGTTTGGGTTTAAAGGGGCAGTTAGAGAGAATGCTGAGAGCAGTTTCTGAATCTGGTAAAAAATTACCCTGAATGGAGGCATTGTGTTACCAATTATGAGGTATGCCCACATTTTTATTGGATATATTGGCTTGGATTATTTTGATCTGCCCTGAGTAGCTTTAATGGAGTGAAGATCAGGTATTATTTTATCCAGACAGAGCTCTTAGAATTTATTATAAAACTATTTTATGGTAGTGTTTTAGTTTAAGTGTCTTTTTAGCAACAGGAAGAAGTTGGGAATTTGCAAAGAACCCATGACCCCTGGTCCCCAGTACTTGATGTTGCTCCTTATCAGTGCACCTCATTACCAGTAGTCTCAGCATCCTCAGTATAAGTAATTTTAGCCTACTTCATGTTTATTATGACACTGCATTATTTCATGCTAAATGTTATTTACTGTAACAGTTGTGCTTAGTGATTATTAGCATGGCATACAAACATATCTATGATAAAACAGAATTCTGTATACATTCCAAGATAGAATTTCTCCTCAATCTGTCATCATGAAACAGGCCCAGTTTGTTGCATACAATAGAAAAATTAAATGACAATACAAAATGTTCTCAGTGAAAAAAAGTAGATTGCAAAGCATACAAATGCTGATGACTGAGTTATTCCCTGGGCTGCTTTAGATTAGTCCTTGTTGACTTTAGTCTTCTCCAGCAAAATGTGCTGGGGCATCTAGTATAGGCCATGCTTTGCCAACAAAGGTTGGACCAGCTGATCTTTGAGGTCCCTTCCAACCTTGTCTATGATAATGCATATGATAACTCTGCACATAAATGGCTAATGTTGATACTTTGAACTGTCCTTTGCATGCTTTATGTCAAATACAGATACAGATCACATTTATGGCTCAAAACATATTCAATGTAGGTTCATAAATTACATAAGAAACAACACAAAGTAATGAGAGATCTGTCATCTTTAGTTTTTCATTTTAGATGCAGCAGTGTGGCATGGAAAATTTATTTACTATCCTAGCCACTAGCTTTCTTGTAGTCAAGAGTTCATCACTTTGCTTTAAGTCTGCAAGTAAAAATAAAGATGTTTCGCAAGAGGGAAAACAGTAAGACTGCTTGGCCCAAGGTGGGGTGGGGTATGTGAATGAGATCTATGTCTTAGCCTAAATCAGCCACTTGGAAAAATCCTGTGGCATTTGTATATTTCCCTTTCCTCATCTGTAGAATGCTGTTAACACATTTTTTAAAGCACAACTCAGTATATGGAAAGCAGAACATAAAAGCTGTGTCCTCTGCTCCAAAGAGGACACACTAGTCCCCAAAAAACAGATACAGAAATACTATGGTCCAAAGAACAGAGGTGCAGAAATGGGGAGCAGGGCAGGAGAGACTCGAGTGGAGACCAGTGACACTGTGGCCACAGTGGCTCTGCAGAAATGCTGGGAAATGCCCATCGATAAAAATGGTGGGAGAGAGGATGGGTGTTTCTGTTCAAAACAGTGTGCTGCCAGCTGTAGTGAAAAGAAATTAGAAAGGAAAGAATGTTTTGTATCTGATTAATAACCTCACCTTGTCTTTAGGAGCTTGAAGTAGTGTCTGCATTGTTTTCCAGCGCAGTAGTCAGAGATGAAAAATCCCTGTTCTTCAGCCTAAAAGTCAATCAATGTGAAAATTATTTCCTCCCACCTTGGGTGAAATTCATATTTGGGCCAACGTTTCTGCAGTAGTTTTCCTACCTTTGAAATACCCTGTGAGATGTATCTGTTAAGCAACTGTATGTTCTCTAGGTGCCAAAGAGAAGGACAAGCATGGGCACCTGCAGCAACAGGGAATGGGGGAGCATGGCTGGCAGAAAGCAGTAGCACTGCACATACACATCTGCACTGTAGCCTGAAGGTGCTGCCACTTATTATCTTTGTTCCAATATCATAGAAACTGCATGTAAGTTTTAGCCCAACTGAACAGATTACATCCGTCTAAGTCAAAGCAAATACATGTCTGCAGGAAATACTGATAAAACTGCATGCAACATGCATGTTTGGAGGCTAAGCTTATTCCTTAGTTACTGTGAATGTCAGCTTGCATTATTGGTGAACACTGAATGAAACTAGTCTTGAAGGTATTATGGATAATCATGTTTTATTTTAAATATTTTGTCAAGCAAATTTGAGCAGGAGATTGCAGAACAGTCACTGAAAAGAGAAACAAAGTTGTGATGCATCTCCTCTTTTTGTGTTTATTTGAGATACTATAACCACGTAACAATAGAGTCACAAGCAGAAAGACATTCTTCAGATTGGTGCTTTTCTAGGGCATGGTTCCTCACATGATTTTGTATGGGCACATCCCTGTGGACAAACAAAGCTCCATCAAAGTGAGGTCTGACTACTGCGTAGCATTTCATAGAAACAGGATGTAAGAAGAATCCTTTCAATTAAATAAGTTTGTTTACAACTAGTAAAGCAGTTTGCAACATTCAGAAAAATCGATTTCCTGGTGGACTCGCTTACCATTTTATCATATTGTGCCAGATTGTGCATGTTACTGATGAAAAGTAAGAACTCACAGAAGTTATGTAGGGAAAAAATACTCTAAGTTTTAAAAACCTACAATCCTAAAGATCAGATTTCTGGGGGGGGCGGGGGAGTTGGTCTCCTTTGTAATAGTAGTTAGTATTATTCAATAGAATTTCCTATCTGCAGATGTGGAAAATCTTAGTAAATGATATGGATTTGTGTGTGATCAGAATGAGGGTAACTGAACAGTTAACTAAAAGACTGATGCTGTATTGATCATGACGGTTATATTTCAGTGACTAGAATAAAGAATATACTGTAATTCAAAGCATGTATTCAACAGAAAAATGCATAGACATATACAAAATAGAAACAAAACCCCAAAAACTTCAGCTTGTGCAAAGTTTACACCTTTATTTATTTTGTATCTGAGTTTATAGTAATAATTTGAGATAACTTGATTGTCTGAAAACCCAGACTATTAAAGCTTTCAAGAGAATAATATTCTTATAAAACCTACACAGTACTTTTAGAGCATTTGGATACTCTAAATAACTATGTACAGGTTGTGGATGTCACAATTTCTTGCATTATTAATAAAAGTAGTAGCTTTGCATCTTCCCAGTTCTAGTTATTTCTCTAAATATCTCCAGGAAATAGAAGCATAAAACAGCAAGCATTTAAAAATAATGGGTAAGCTTCTTTTGGGGAATATGCCTATAAAATGAGTCATGCTTATGTTTACAGTTTTATATTGATTTTCAAATCATAAAATAAGTACAACGTTACAAAATGGGCAAATCAAGGCTGTTACTGTGAGGTCATGACTAAGAGTCAGTAGTATCTCACTATATAAGAAACTCTAGTATCAATGGGTAATTCTTGTTTATTGATGGACTTTTGACACTAAACTGAAAAGATACATAAAATCACGTGATATTTCAGGAAAAGAAACCACACAAACCTAGGCTATTTCAGCAGCACTGAAACAGTTTTCAATCAAATGAAAATTTTAGTCACCTCTGAAAGATCAGTCATTTTTATGTAGGGTGTACATTAAAGAACACCTAACAATTGTATTTATATAGACATAAGTACATATCAAACATACATATTTTGATAATTTTGCAGATGTCCTCAGGACCTCTATTTCATGAAGGGCCCTGACTGGGCATTTTGTCTAACTAAGTAAAATACTATATAGTACTAATTAAGTCCTAAACTACTATCTTCAGTACCACACTATGGACTCTACTTTCCTTGAAGTGCTGTATTCATGGTAACTTCATTATTTGTTAAATATCGTAATAGAAAAGCAAACCAAACTTCTTGTTTTTTAAAGACAGACATCTTTTCCATCTCATTAAATATTTCTCTACATTGGCTCACATATTTTATAATGTAATTACAGTACAGTCAGTATAAAATTGATAATATTTATTCAATTTTAATTTACAGAGATGTAGCAGGCTGTCTTCACTGAAACACTACCATAATGAGACGAATTACTTTGATGCTACTTTTCAGAAGATGTGACTTTGAAGCAAAGTACTGACCTTTCAGGAGAAAATTCCCAGCATACAGTCTTGGTTCATAAACAAGCATTTGTTACACAGAATGCTGACTACAATTGCACCCTTGTATTGTTGCTTAACATTTTTCCTTGGAAATAAACATATGTTCAACTGTGTTCAGCCATAAATAGATATGTTAGAAGGAAATCTAATCCCCTACTTGAAAATTATACTGAAGAAATTGTATGCTTTATCTTCTATTGGTAATGTCTCTCTTAAGATAATATCATTATATAGGAAATCCTGAGCCTTTCCTCCACTGTGTTTTTTGCCAGTTTTATCACTGGTAGAACTAATTGCAGATCTCAGGTGGTTTTCAGTGAAGTTCACCTCTACGTTTCCTGGTCATTCCTTCTTTTTTTTTTTTGATGGAGCTTTATATATTTTCCAGAGTATGTGAGGTAAAAGCTTGCTTTATTGTGAACTAAAGGTTTCTTCTTTTTCCTTTTTAATCAGAAGATGCAATATATGTTTGAAGAGGAAGCAGGAAACTAATCCTTTTTGCACAGATAGTATTTTTTTACTAATACTAGATCCAACTATATGCATTTTGTATTAATTAATTTATTCATTCTGGAAGGGGCAAGCACCCCTAATAGATGATAGTAATTAACAAAAGTAACAAAACATATCTCCAGCAATGTTGTCAACTAAACTGTGTAATCTTTTCTGAACAGCAAAAGTATATGCCTGAAAGATGGAAACTAGCTAATCAGTTATAGCAATAGCTGGCCAGTCAGTAACTTTTTAAAGCAACACAAAGGACTCTAAAGTCTTAGGTAACAGAGTGTGCTTATCTGTTTAGATCTGACGGTTTTCCTTATTTTCAAGTGTTTTAACATCCTGTAGAATTACAGAGAAGTAGACTTGATGTTCTTCCAATTCTCTAAGCAAAGCTTAGTCACTCATCTTGCTACAAACAGTAACTCCTTCTGGGGAAGAAACAGGATCATGTTGCAAACCACATACCTAAGCAGTCAGGGAGAGGAAACCCTTCATTCTCCAGCAATTACTACAATGCTGCAAGACCTTCTGGTAGAGCCAGGAGATGTAGCTCTTGCGCATCCTGACAACAACCATCCTTGAGGAAGTTCTGCCAGCTCTCAGCACAAACAATACTCCTCAACAGCCATTCCTCATCAAGGAGCAGGGACCCAAGTTAAATACATTAAGAATTAACAGTGGAAAGGCAGGTACAGATCTCACTGGTAACAGTTCTGTCCCACACTGCGTGGATGACCATGACTGCCTAGGTCAGGCTACATCAACTTTGAGAGCAAGGTGAAAGAATAATTTCAAGTATCTGCAAGTCTTATTTACAGTATTATTTAGGCAAGTCTGAGCTTTCATGTATGCTGCATGTCTTTGAGATCAACCAGCATCAAAGCTTTGGGCCTGGAAACTCTGAGTTGTTCTGTTGCTGCTGCCAAGGAAGAATAAGAAGAAAAAACTCAGTGAGTTTATTTCTCCAGAGCTTGAACTCATTGACAAGAACAACCTAAACAAAGCATCTGTGGCCACACAGTTCTGGATTAAGTGTCTATAAAAGACTAAACCCCACCAAGAGATTACTACTGTAAAAGCTGAAACTATGAGCTGGGCGAAGGGATACACCCACGTAAAAGACAAGCAACTAAGATGGAGGTTGCCGAGGAAAAAGTTTGTTATTGTCTCCTGGATGTCATTTCATATGAGAAAAAGCAAGAGGTAGTTTTGTCCCATGAGCCCAGTGATTCTCCACCTCAACAGCGGGTACATGCTAGGTAGATTCAAGTAATGTATATGGAAAGGCATGCTCTCTCTCCTCTCTGACTGTTCATTTAACCAGCTTTTACTTTCACTCTTGGAATAGGGTTTATTTAGAAAAATAAAAAGTGTCTGTGTCAGTCTTCAGATAGGAAAAATTACATGTTAAGAACCAGCAGTTCATTGTCAAATGAACTTCAATTTCAGTTCAAAATAATTTGCAATTATATAATGCTTTCCACTTTCAGAGCAATTTCCATATTAATTAGGTTTTTTAGCACCTTTTGGAGTTTAAATTTAGTTTAGTATTGGTCAAAAATTTGTTCTGGTTCTTTCTCTATGTGACTAGAGCAGTGGCCTTGGACAAATTTCTCCTGCTCAATTGGCATGGTCATTTGATACTAAACTGGTGCCTTTTGGTAGCGATTGCACAGGCTGAGGGCGGAAACAGCACCTACGCTTTAATTTTCAAACCAGCCTTCTCAAGGTTCAGGCATCTGTTGCCTCTGCTGTGCTTTCAATCATGTGCAGATGCTAAATCTCAGCCTGCTACACTATTGCAAAATAGCAATAATGAACTTGGTTTTCCTTTGTTTGTTTCACAAAAGTAGTTTCAAGACAAACAATTGAGTATTTAAATGTTTTAAAATGTTATCATTTCCCTTTGAATTGATGTGCAGTTCCCCCCAGCAGCCACAGCATTTTGGGAGTGCTGTCAGTAGGACAGGCTACAAGCACTTTTTCTCCAAGTCCCATGCACACTGTGGGGGTTCAGCTGAGCTAGCCACCAGTACATTCAGTGTGCTGAGCTCACCTCACCCTGAGGAAGCCAATTTTTCACTTGCTCCTTTTACTGTAGAAGGAAGTTAAGGGACAAGAAACCAGGAACTAAAGAAAAAGATATGATCCATCAATGTCACTAGTTCAGGGCTGGGTCACCCAACTCCAGAGCAAGAGCCATGCCTGCAGGTGTGATACTACAAAGTGTGTCTGCTCCCTGGCTGTGTGAAAAGCAGCTTTCTGAAAGCTCTTAGACAGCTGAAAGCTCCAGTACGAACAGTGACAGCTGAAGGTACAAGAAATGTCTGAATTCTTACCTGGAGAAAATAGCAAATCTAAGACAAGGCTAAGCTTTCTTTGTGCGAGAGGTAGGGACGATGACAGGCAGAAGGT